GATGATAGATTAGATGGATGGATAGGTAGGTAGATAGATAGATAGATAGATAGATAGATAGATAGATAGATAGATAGATAGATAGATAGATAGATCCTTTGGCTTCAGTTCATGAATTGGTATATAATTTTATAACTGGGTTTTTCTTTTCCCAATCAAAATGAAAAACAGATTTTCCATTGCTCCATTCTTTGCATGGACTGAGAGACTTGGACAAGATTTAGAAATTTTGAAGGAACAAATAAAACACAAACACACACAAAGACATAACAACAGAAAATCTGGGGATAGGGTGGGTTTGACTTTCTGCTGGAGGTACCACAGTATCACGTAAACTTAGAGTGTTTTTTGAACAGAGAGGTTCATCTATACAAATGGACCAAATGGACAAGAAGGAGAGTTATTACATATAAACAAGGAGGCAAAGGTGTACAGGTGAATCAAGGAGGCAAATTTAGTTAAACTCAGTAAAAATCAGTCTTTGTAGGGAACCAATCTTCAGACTGAGAACATTCAGGGAGAGAGCAATGATGACCATTTTCTACAACCACTATGAACACCAGCACATGAACCAGAAGGGAAGATTTTACCACTTCCCTCTGAACATGGACTTGGCTCTTGGTGTGGGATGGGGGAGGAAAGTCTTGCAATTGCTTCACAGGTCTGAGACTTGAGCTCTTATCATGGTCATGCCCATGAAAGACAATGCACACTCACTCAGGATTTCAGATCTACATGGCTTCTTTTGCTCCCCACACAGTCTTTGTTATTTAATTCACTGGAAAGTTTCACAGCCATCATCAAACACCTGAAATGTCTCAGAACGCAGCACTGATCTACTTAGAAACTGTAGCTCATCTCATGTACCTTGCCCACATTTTGTTTTCTAAAAATTGGCACTCTTTCCATTGCTCCATTAACTAACAGGAGCAGAAGTGTCAGCAACAGAGTGTGAACAAGTCGGACATGTGACCTAGTGAACATGACCCGTAGTTGGCTATTACTGTATTCTAGCTGGTAAACCTGCTTCAAGGTGTTTCTTACTTATTTGCTTATGAAATAAAGCTATATTTTATTCCTTACCTTCTACTAATCTTTGCTCTGATGTTCTCATCATAATAAACACTCTTGTGGTGAAATTACAATATGCTTTTTCTAACTGCTCATATTTCTTACATTATGCTTCATTGGCAATGGAACCTTTAACTTATTTCTCACTAATAAAATTTTAAAAAGCTGATTCATATATGTTACCATATGAGACTCCGAGTTAAACCTAGAAGAGTGATTACTATTGGCTCTGAAGAAGTTATCATCTTATAAGGCATTTTCTGAAAGGGTTCTAGAAGGTACTAGCTGCTTACAATAATGTTTCTCCCCTGAAAATATATAGGCTTTTTTTTTCTAGTCCTTTAACAATTGTTAGAAGAACACGACTAATATCAATTAATTTGCAAAACTCTTAAAGAGATTTCCCCAGTCGTGTTTCCAAATGAAAGCAATTTAACTGAAGAAACAGCAGGTATACTAACAGCTAAGAAGTGTGAGCTGCCTTAAAGGGCTGAAGTTGTACTGAAACCAACGTTTTAAAATAAAAGTACCTTCCCTAATCACTGAATTTGAAATAGTTCCTTCTCTACCCATATCCCTGGACCCCTTTGTTTCAGCCACATCGAGTCACATTTCAGGACCTCCTCATATGACATAAATAATATTTTATATGCCCCGACATCTTTCCCTCTTGACCACAATAAAAATGTGAAAGGGAAAAGGCAATTTTCCATTGTCACAGATATTTTTTTATAGATTTTTATTGAGCTCTACATTTTCTTTGCTCTCCTTCCTCGCTCTCCCCTCTCCCATTCAACCGTGTTCCAAGGTCCCCATGCTCCCAGTTCACTCAGGAGATCTTGTCGTTTTCTACTTCCCATGTAGATTAGATCTATGTAAGTCTCTCTTAGTGCCCTCATTGTTGTCTAAATTCTCCGAGATTGTGGTTTGTAGGCTGTCACAGGTATTTAAAATGTGCCCAGAATAAATAACACTTGCAAAATAGAGGATACCTAGAAAAATTTAAATGAATACATGCATGGCAGCCTCCTCAGTTAGGCCTGGAAGCAGGTACTGAACAACAATACCAGGAAAATTGAGAGTTACATCATAGGATATGCAGGTTCTAAGAAAATTTGTTTTCTCTTCCATTGTGTTTTGATTTGAAATGATTCTGGACAAGCCTATCTAATTTGCTTAGCTCCAGTCCTCACTTCCAGAACTATGTAAAAAATAGAACTTTGTGAATATAGGTATTTATTCTATGAATCAATAAAGTGATATTTCTTTAGTGAATTTTAGGGAGAAATACCAGTTGTAAATGGAGAAATACTGAAGTTCCATATGGTTATGAAAATGATTCAACCTTCCTATTAAGCATTACAAGCTAGCATTACTGACTGTCAAATTTAAAATCTTCAAAAAATGCTACTCGATGACAGACAAAGTACAACTTGTATATGGGTTTGAAAGGGTACAAACAAGATGTAAAGCTATGTGTAGCTATCTGGAAAAAATATCAAACCCTTAAATAAAAAAGGACTTGATCAATGGTACTCCAGCATTTAGACATTCATGAAACTATCTGGCAATGAGCATGTCTCTAAATCATGAATAAATGCATTTAAGTTTTGTTTGTAATTTTTAAAGTGTTAGTAAAAAGTATAAGCAAAATTTAATTTTACATAATTTAAAATTTCTTCTTCTTGGTCATAACCGACCCACCCCCTCTGCCACTGGAAAACTTGTTCTTCTATCTTTTAAGTGAAATTTAAACTTAGCAATTCAACTAACCCTCTTTAATGATATGTATACTATTAATTATACATGCATATGTGTGTTTTGTGTATTTAGTTTAACAGTTTGCAATGTATATAAAAATTAGCTTTTTACTAAAGATTTTATTTAAAGAAATAAAAATCTCTGTCTTATTGTTTTGTTTTTGGGAGCCTTAAGTATATACTTCACTTCTAAGAACTAGAAATGACAAAGAATGCTAAAATTGAGCAGTACATTGTCATTAGTCTATTATATTCTTACTTCATACCAGAAACAAGTTAACAAACACACTTTGTAATCTATAGCTACCTTTCTCAGTCATACAGAAACTATGATATCAAATCTTCTGTGACAAAGTTGTACAGTTGGACATTCATGACAATGTTCAATTAAACTCTAAATTTAATACTCCAAGAAGTCCTTCTCTTCCCAGGAATATACAAGGATTACCCCAGCTAAGACCCTAAGCAATAGTGGAGAGGGTGCATGGACTGGCCTTGTCCTATAAACAGATTGATGAATATCTCAAATGTCACCATACAACCTTCATCCAGTGATTGATGGAAACAGAGGCAGGAACCCTCAGTGGAGCACTGGACTGAGTTCCCAAAGTCCAAATGGAGAGTGGGAGAAATGAGAATATGAGCAAAGAGGTCAACACAATGATGGGGTCACCCACTGAAACAGTTTACCTGAGAAAATGGGAGCTCACCAACTTTAGCCGGACAGGGAAGAAACCAGCATAGGTCCAAAGTAGGCCCTCTGAATGTCGTTGTCAATTGCAAGGCTGGGGCAGACTGTGGACCACTGGCAACAACATCAAGATTAATCCCTATTGCATGGACTGGCTTTTTGGAAACCCATTGTATTTGGATGATACCTTGCTCAGCCTAGATATAGAAGGGAGGTCCTTGGACCTTCCCCAAAGTAATTTGCCTTAGTCTCTTTTAAAAAAAGAAATTATAGAAAAAGGAGGTCCTTCTGAAGAAATAGATTATTGCTAATAAGAAAACTGAAAATGTGTCTGTGTTATTTAAATAATATCAAAGAATATAACAGGGAAAAATGATTGAGAGGATTATATAAATGTGTAAACCTACCTATAAAATTCAACAAAGATATCAGAAATCGCTCGGATCTGATTCTGTAGTTGATGTTACTGATGCTATATAGATTAAACTAAAAGTGAATTCAGCTCGAAAGAGTGAATTTTTTGAGGTATATAAAATATGTATATATAATTCTTGATTAAGATAATAGAACTTTAATAAATACTTATTGATTAGGCCTTTTTAATACAAGGCTACAGTGAATATGCATACAGTATCTCTTGAAATTTTATTCAACAACATCATAAAAATAGAGCCACATCATTGTGAGTTCTTTAGTCCTACTCTTTAAATACGACTCATCACAATTTTAACACATCACAAACTATTGAGAAAAATGCTATTTTTACCATTTTTATAACTATAGATTATCTCCATAAGAAACCATAGTTACAATAACTGAGGATGATCCTCTTTACTTTACCTTTCATGCAAATTCATGCAAACATTTACTGTTTGTTTTTAAGTGTTTTTGCATTTTTACTGTCCTTCAACTTAGAAGAAAATCTCTTTTTACTTCAGATTTAAAAATGCTCAACATAATAATTTCTGGAAAAAAAAGTAGATCTTGATTTGGGCAAAGTGCCTGATATTTGAGAGAATGGCTATTTAAGATATCACATCAATAGAAATCATTTGCCTTAGGCTTTATGGCATTAAGTCCTAGTACAGAGTACTTTCAATTAAAATAAGTTTTATTTTATTTTATAACCAAAATCCATAAATGTATTGAATTTGTTTAAAGCTTAGGGGCTTAAAAAATCTCTAATGCATTATCTAAATTAAGCAAAGATACTTAGAAGATCACAATCAATAGGAGCAGAAGGAAGGTTGCAATTTCAATATAAGTAAAGCTCAGCGGCAACTTCTACTGTAATATAATTACACGGTTGGGCATTTTTACAAGCCAAAATGGAAGAAAATATTTTTGGTAAAAACAGGTTTTGCATTGATGGTGTTTTCCTTTGAGGAAGTCAATATATTGAAAAATTCCTGCAACGACATAACTTTAAAGTTGCTCTAGACTTAGATGCTTTTAATTATTTTCATATGTTTTAATAGAGGCTCAAAGAACTGAAACAGAGAGAATTTGCTCGAAATGTAGCATCTAAATCCAGGAAGGATGAAAGAAAACAGGAAAAGGCACTCCAACGTCTTCACAAGCTGGCTGAGCTAAGAAAGGAAACTGTGTGGTGAGTCTATAAGAAAATGTTAACTTTCCTTAAAATACACCTAAAACATAGCTGCAGGAGTTAGAAACGAAGGGCAAAACTCTATTTATTTTAGTACACAGAAAAAGGCATACATGTTTGCATGGCCTTCTGCAGAAGTAAAGAGCAATTTGAATTTCATTCAAACACCAGTTTAATGCATATTTCACTAAACTCACAAATTACTGTAATCTCAGCTTATAAGAGTAAATTTTACATCAGTAGAGGCTTGTATCTAAGCCATCTTAATTGAAAGCTGTCCCATTTCTTCATGAAATTCAAACCATCCGACTGAGGATAAGAGCACACCACTATCTCCCGACTCTTGGCAAAAAGAGTTTTTGAGAAGGTCTTATTTTGTTTTTTACATGATAATTTGGAGGCAGCTTCTTCAAAATTGCTTTTAAATTTGAGAAAGAGAGGTCAGAAAGATGCTGCACACTTCAGAAGCAGCTCAAAATTAGTTTCCCTGTGAATAAACTATAGCTGGACTGTTAGAAGTTCACAGCTCTTAAACTTTGACCCGCTCCTCAGAGTGAGCAGCTGTTAGATGTGAACAGAGTCATAATTCAGACCTCACCAGCCCAGTTAGGGCAATTCTATTAAAAGAAGATCACTTGTAACTTGCCCTTATTTCTCTCAACAAATGAAGTCTCTCTTGTCACTGTCTATAACAAAGATTTCATGCTAAATTAATTTCTTATGGAATATTGCTATGGAATATTTTAACTAAGAAAACATTTTAGAAATTCCAAATTTAAAATTTAGAACAGCGTGGGCATTTTTTAAAATCCAATGTGGAATTGTTTGAAGACAGAGCTGCTCAACTAGAGTAGTGAGATCTGTTTACTGTTGTGGCATCAGATGCCGAGCTGCTGCCAATCAAGGCTGTGTAGAATCGTGGGACCTAACTACTACATAATTATATTATACAATAGAATGCAATTATATAGGAATAGAATTTGCCACGTAGCTTCTGATATGTTAAGAAAGCTGTATTTATGTTATAAATAATTTTCATATTACTTATCTTAATTAAAACTTTCAGTAAACAATATTTCTCATTGAACACACACAAGAACACACACAACTCCATGAGTTTTATGCATGCGAAAATGGCAATGTTACTTAGAAGCAAGTCGCAAGCAGATATACATTGTGTTAGAGATCTTAAAAATCAGGTATGACATTTGGCCATTTGAAATTTCTTACAAACAAATGCTTAGAATGGAATGGAATTTCTCTTAAGGTAACTGGTACTATGAAGGTAAGGTTTAGGAAATTCCTGTATTATATACAGGCTGTCATTCTTTTACATTGAAACCTAGTATTTATGATATACTTCCAAATACAAATGGGATATAACTCATATTTTAGATGAATAATATTCTATCCTACGGGAATACATATTATAAAATAACTTTCAACTTCTAATTAATTTTAATTTTTTGAGCTTAGCAATTCCAAAAGACCCATAGATCATCCCTAGCTAACTTAACTGACAGCAAAGTGTTGGGCAAAAGAAGACTTAATGAAATCTGGCTGAAATGAATCATTGAACCAAATTCCCAGCCTTTCAAAAACCTTTATTAAGATTTTATTAAGATCTTTACTAAGGTGGCATTTGTTGTTTTGTTTGTTTTTGTCTGTTTCTTTGGTATTTGTTTTATAAGATCAATGTTGAAAATTATTCCCATTTAAAAGTAACTTTACTGTAGAGAATTTTAAAATGCTTTATTAAGTGGCTATTTAAGTGGCTTTATTAAGTGGGTAGAAAATTGATTGGGAAGCAATAATCTATAAGCAAAAGAATGTCCTGCATATTGTTTCCAGCTATAGAGAGCATCCTAGATGATAACTCCAGGTTGCCCCAACAAAGATACTGAATCTCTGGCACCCTATGAAATAACCGCAAAACATATTTAAATCAAAGTCATGAATTTGTAACAGATGCTAAATTTGAAAACAAATGAGACATTAATAGTCAGATGTGAATGAAGGAGAAGCTGAGGAAGACCATACTCATTGCTGAACTGTCTGCTACGGACAGACTCAGATCCGAGAAAATCATTGCCTTCATTTGTGCACCCTATACCTGTCTCCACTATGATCCAGTGAACACTTCTTATCCAGTGGGTGCACACATTACCTTGGCTAGACTAAGCAGAGCAGGAACAGAAACCAAAAGTCAGGGTCTGGGGGGAGGCCTTTTAGATATTGTGAGGTACACTGTTTTGATGTGGACAGGAAGAACATTAATGGACTTGGCATGGAGAAAGCAAGCAGAATACACTATCTACATGTATAACAGTATCAAACTAAAAAGATTAATCAAAAAAGTGGAATTATATATCTAAGAAATAAGTCACTGGATGGTTTTCTCCTAGTAACGTACACCCCTCCTGTTCTGCAGTGCTCCTGGAAGTGGCCCCATGTTCAAGTCAACAACTGTCACTGTGAGAGAAAATCTCCATGAAGTTTCCCAAAAGGAGGCTGGAGATTCAGCTGATAATCAGCAAGAACTAACTCCTAGGGAAGAGAAGGGGAAAGATGCCACTACAGCTTCTGCCGAAATGGAAAGTGCAGGTAACTGCACAGCCAGTAATTGCCAGCTTGGGGATCAAGCCCAGGGCACCCATAGACATAGAGTTGGTTTTTCCTTTGCATTTCCAAAGAAAGCCTCTGTGAAACTGGAGTCTTCAGCTGCCGCCTTCTCTGAATGCAGTGATGAGTCCTCTGCGGAGAAAGAATCTGGCAGGAAAACTAGATTTGTTCCCAGCACTTGTCACATGCAACTATCATCACCAACACGTGAGCTTCTCGGCTCTGAAGAGAAAGCTAACTCTTCTTACCCACCAGAGGCCATGTGTACTGACCAAACAACTCCTCAAGTTGAAGAGATGAAAGAAACCTTTAATGAAAAAATTACACCATTGACTTCCTTTTGCCAACTTCAACTCCCTGTATGTTCTGATACAGATACCTGTCAAAATTCAGCACCATTTGAAGATCAAAGATCAATGGTAGATGTTATTGTTAATGAAGACATACTTGTGAGTCAAAACAGCCCTGACTTCATAGAAAAAAATCCCACTGTGCCTAATGACTGCACACCAGCACAAACTACCACAGAGAAAAACACTAAGATTAATGATGTGTCCAAAATGGAAACTGGAGATAAAATTGATCATGAATCATTGATACCTTCAAATGCTGCAGAGGAAAACATAACATTACAAAAAGGACCAGATTTATGTAAAAGACAACGTGACCCATTTGTACCTGTACTTAACAAACTTGGATCTTCAGTGCTTCAGTGGCCATCAGAAATGCTTATTTATACAACTACAGAGCCATCAATATCTTATAGCTGTAATCCACTCTGTTTTGACTTCAAGTCCACTAAATTAAACAACAATCAACATAAAAATAAGCTGACCTTAAATGACCTTAATTTTCAACAGAAGGAAGACTTTAGCAAGACACCAGATGCTGATTGCAGTGATGCACCAACTGCAGGAGTCACAAATGGTGAAATTAGCAGTAATAAAAATGATCACACTAAAGTTGCTGCTCTTCAGGCTGTCCACATTCTGTCTAATTATGATTTAGAACAAAATGAGAACGTGGATCAGAAGTATAAAGACATTTCCTGTATGAACAGAAAAGCAAACAAATACAATTTTACTAGAAATCAAATTAAACGGGATACGCTAAATGAGAAATATAACAAAAGCAGGTTGAAGGAGATTCATGAACACTGGTTCCATAAAAGTAGAAGGAAGAAGAAAAGGAGAAAGCTATGTCACCATCACCATGGGGAGACAACCAAAGAACCTGAAGGTCCCTGCAAAGTGGGAATAGATGGCCAGTGCACTGATGAGTCAAGAAAAGGTTCACAGGAACCAGTTCCTGAGAGCCAGCAAGGGAGTCCAGAGCAACAGGCAGACTTGCATCAGCTACCTGACGAAAAAGCCAACGCAGAATCTATAAATGTAAACAAAAATGGAGAAATGAATGAATCCAACAATGATGTTATCAGTTCTCAAAACCATGAAGGAAGAAACACAATACTTGTAAATGGACAAACAAATCCACCAATGATACATTCTGGGAAACAAAATCTGACATATTCCAGAACTTACTGTATTTGGAAAGTCAGGACGTCGAACTGTCAAGGGGATGACAGGGGCTTAGTTCCTCAAAGCGATGTGAAAGGCCCCAGTCAGAATCAGCCTGTTAAAAGAGGTTACAATTCTCTCTTGAATGAAGCAGAAAGATATCATCGGAAACGCAGACAACACTCATGTTCTTATTCATCTGATGAAAACCATCAGAATCATTTAGCAGAAGAATATTTGGGTCCACCAAGTGCTTCAGCCACTCCCTGTCAGCCGAAGAAGAAACGAAGGAGAAAAAGAAGTCGATTCCACATTGGAGGCAGAACTGTGAAAATCAAAGACAATTCAGATTATTCCATGAAAAGAAGTTCTTCTTTGAGTCCCTCAGATGGCTTAGTAAAGGAGGACAAAAATGACAAAATAAAACCACAAGAAAACATAAGTCTGGGGACGAGCTCAGAGCAAACAGAGCACAAAGCGATGCTACATCCTTGCAGTCCACTGCCTTCTGAAACCAGTGGCAAAAGTGAGCATTCGGCAATGGAGCCTACTCCATCGGACTTATCACAGGCTCCAGATGATCTCCCTACATCTGCGCATGTAGCGAGGGCTGAATCAAATGACTCAAGTGACAGTACCTTGCTTGAACACAATCAAAGAAGCCAGACTACAGTCAGCAATGAAAAGCAAATTCCTTTCAAGGTGCCTAATACTGAAAGGAAATTTAGAAACTCACAGACTAAATCATATGTTTGCCGTTATGAACTGGCCGAGACCATTCCACAGGGAAAGACGAATGAGACATCGACAGAGTGGCTCTGTTACAACTCTGGAATCCTTAGCACGCAGCCACCATTACCATTCAAGGAAGCCCATGTCAGTGGTCACGCCTTTGTAACCACAGAGCAAATCTTGGCTCCATTAGCTTTACCAGAGCAAGCATTGTTGATTCCAATAGAGAACCATGACAAGTTAAAACATCTGCCGTGCGAGGTCTACCAGCACATTATTCAGCCAAACATGCTAGCCAACAAGGTCAAATTTACCTTTCCTCCCACTCCCCTTCCCCCTCCAGGCACTCCGGTGCAGCCTTTGCCTTTACAGCGGCCCTTCTGTTCTACCTCTGTTACTACTATCCATCACACTGTTTTGCAGCATCATGCTGCAGCCGCTGCAGCTGCCGCCGCAGCCGCAGCTGCAGGAACCTTCAAAGTGCTTCAGCCACATCAGCAGTTTCTCCCCCAAGTCCCAGCTCTCACCAGGGCATCTATACCTCAGATCTCGGTAGGAACTGTAGGACCTAGGCTTTGTCCCGGCAGCCAGCCAGCTCTGGTTGCTTCTCCTCAGATGCCAATCATCCCTGCTTCAGTTCTTCACCCCAGCCACTTGGCGTTTCCACCATTACCCCATGCTCTTTTCCCTTCGCTGCTTTCACCCCATCCAACAGTCATTCCTCTGCAGCCCCTCTTCTAGTCACCACCATAAAGAAAAAAGAATATATACGTAATATATAAATATATATATGAGTAGGTATCTATCTACATGCATAATTGGCTATTTAACTGGCAAAATAAAATGGCCAAAGTTGGCCTTATTGATTTCAAATCATTTACTATAAGTGTAATGATGCTAATAAATTAATAAAGTTGCTGATATATAATATTATTAAAGCACTGAATAGTTTGAGAATCCATACAATATATGCTGTATATTAAAATGATGTCTTAAAAGTATGCATAATGTACATAAAATATATTTATAGTACTGTAATTTATGTTGTAAAGTATGCTCCTTGTTTTTCTAATCTTTGTGTATTTGCACCTATTTGACGTTTAGACAAAGCTGATGGCCCTATTTGTTTTGTATCATGTTCCTTGAATCTGTAAATTCAGTGAAATATATCTCTTGCAATAAATTTTTGTTAATTATTTAAGTAAAACAAACTTTGGTGTTTAGATGGTCTTTGCTGATTTACTACTGCCGGCAATAGATTATGTTACATTTATTATTTTCTTCTGTCTCTTGGTATCACAAAATCACCAAAACCCAAGTATCTTCAGATTTTTTTCCACACTTAAAAGTTGTCATCAGTCACAGTAAATACAATTGAGAGTACATTTGTTTGAATCTCCATTTCTTATAATGTAGCTTATATCGAGAATTTATTGCATTGTGTAGCCAAGCATTTAGACAAAAGTCAAGGAACTTTACATTGAATCAATTTTAGGATTTGAAAGGGTAATAAGATATATATATGAGAAATGTATACTATTCCCCATAGGCATACTAAAACAGAAATGTCAACTAATATAAGTGTGTCATAAAACTTGTGAATATCAAAATTCTTAGTTATTATATTCATTTTTCAAGTCCTATAGGAAATATACATATGAATATATTAACATGAATTAAGAACTAATTTCAATGTTAGTAAGTCACTGGTCAATGACAACTTGAGATGAACTGCAAAAGCACACCCCGTGTCTTGATATACTCTTGAGAATACAGATATGAGAAAAACTAAAAATCAACAACTGTCCCTCAGTAATTCTGTCTATGCACTCAAGTTTGTAAACATCTTTCCAAGTCAGGAGAAACAGCTGTAGACAGTTCCGGACTGTACTTCAAGATCCTGCTGTATGTGTAGTTAGCTCAGTATTGTAGTTTAATAAACTATTGATGGATAATAAAGAATGCAGATATTTAGTAGAAACCTTGAAGGAGCACAGTTTCGCCAAGTAAATTTCCTAGTTGTGTCTGCTACAGTTAATGGCATCTTATAAGAGGTTTTCATGCCAGGCAGCATCAGACACAAAGGTTAGAAGAGTCTTGTCATATCAGAGAAGACAATAGGCTTCAACATTCATGTGATCCTGTTCTGAGAAAGTACGTATGTGAACTGAAAGGCAAAATATAAGGCATCCACCATACCATAAAAATCAATATAAAGTCCTGTTTTAAATAAGAGCCAAGGGAGAAAGTTATAACAATTATTTTCATTATTATTTACTATAATAATAATTTCTTTGAATGTTCTCCTGAACATTTTGATAAATAAGAAGGTAAACTGCATTTATAGGATGCAGGCACTTTTATTTCAAGTGCTTTAAGATATTATGTCCCCAAAATGGAACTAAAATTGGAAGACAGGGCTTTTCCCCAAACAAAATATTTAAATATATTTAAATATATTTTTGAAGACAAAATAGATGAAGGTATCTACTGGAAAGTGCTGGCCCAGATAGCTTTCTATATCTGAACAAGATTGTTGCTTATTCTGTCTCAAGCCCAAACTGACTTTCTGACTTAACAATGTGCATCTTTCTTCCCATCGTCCTATGACTCTCATCCAGCTTGTCCATTTTTATCTCTTGTTTATATCTTGCAATTTCTTATTCCCAGTGCTTCTCCCTGCAATTAACTTCACACACAATTGTGTGATTCCTCTTCCTTCTCCACATTATCATTTCTGTTTTCATTTCTAAATGATGCAGCTCTTCTACTATTTAAATTATTGTTGCTAAACCATGTGGTTAGCTAGACTTACTTAGCTTTTAAATCACAATAACCATATAATTTGTTGCTGTCACATGGCAGGAATTTTTGAAACGTTCTTATGTAAGATAAATGGATGTTGAACTGGGGTGTTAAATTGTTAGATTGTCACGGATACAGACGGTTGAACAAGGGATGACTGCAGTTAAGTGCTATCAAAGTCATTATGATTATAGATTCATAGCTATATTTAATACCATCCTGAGATATTGTTTACTTTATCTTCTCACCCATAATGTGTTAGAAGTATGAATTTATAAAGAGACACTTGTTCCTCTATCCTGATAACACTCTCTTCAATCAAGTGACTCAGGTCAACTGGCTGAAGAGCAAAATGAAGAGTGGAAAATAAAACAAGAGTCAAGAAAGTGTCTTCAGGCAGTGTAGCTCAATTCCCTGTAATTGAGGAGTTCTCAAGTCAGTGGGGCAGTCATTCATGCCCTGTGAGCAGCAGGGGGTATTTTCTTGTGTTTTTTTCTAAACATTACATCTTACTTTATAGGTACCACCGGAACCTACTTTTTGGTCCTATATTTATAAGCTCTGTGAGTAACAACATACTAAACCATATTTCTAAAGTAAACACTACAGTGTTCATTTTATGGATCTCTATTCTTATCTTAGTCTTGGTGGCCAATAAGTCAACTCTGTTTTACAGTTAGGTCTCCATTCTCCAAATTATCCACCTTGGATATGTCATCTTCAGATGTAGCTTCTCGTGCGACACTTTCGGAACACAACCATACCATTATAGACTTCATTTTAAACTTATTTTGGATTTTATAATTTTCTACATAAACATGAAAATTCTTTCTAGTCATATGAGCAAAGTATCTCCGGTGAAGTACATGCCAGCACACATCTATCATTGCACTGCTCAAGGTCTACCACCCTAGCTGTCATAGCTACTGACTTCTTTTAGTGGATATGAGCATGGCAGTCAGACTTCAACATTTTTGTTTCTACATATACACTTGACTAAGCAAGCAGTCCATCAATATCCAATGAGATTGAATTTTTGTTGAGAAATTCCCATTCAGGTTACTTCTGCCCCCCCCCAAAAAAAACAACTTCTAGTTCTATTTTCTTGAAAATAGAAACACAACATTATTTTTTATAAATAATTCCTTGTGCTGCAGACAATGGATTGTTTACCCAATCATCTAGAACACAATTTCTCTGTGACCGTGCAGTCTATTACACACATGAGCACATAAAATCAATGATGAGGAGTAAATCCTGCGTGAATAAAATCTCTTAATTCTATAGAGAATGTATCTGTACTACTGTACATCTTCATTCTGAGCTTCGCCTAAATCATCTGCAGTTAAAATAAAATTTTCAGAGTAAATGGTTTTCATGAAGAATGCACTTTCTAGTGAAATTATATATAAAATAAAAGTAGGACTCTAAAAGTGAAAAATCAGTCTTGAATTAAATCTTTATTCCTTTCCCAAAAGTTCAGCCTCCCTTCCTAGGAGTGTGCAATCAACTGGTCTACAGCCTTTGGAATATCTGTTAGATTTTGTAACTGCATATGTTCGAGACACAAAACTTTTACTGCTGAAGAAATGAATAAAGTACAAATGTCATTCATGTTATTAAAATCTGTGTTCATGTGAGGACAGCACATGTGCAAATCTATTGGCGCATACAAAGTTAGCTATTGCATTATTAAT